ATCTTATCTTCACGTTTACCGAAATCACCAACCTCAACGTAGTGATTAGTCCTCTTGCGCCAGCCACCGGTTGGTGTTGAGCTTGAATGACCGCAGGAAGTTGGAGGCTTTCTTGAAGTGGGACCCAACATTGAATATTTCGCGCGCTAAATAATCAACGCACTGAATATCGTGCGCTTTGCGCAATTTGCGTTCGATCACAAAGTTTTCAGAGATTGGGACACGTTGATGGTTGTGCTTGACAATTCCACGTTTGCAGATCAATTCTCGAACTGATTTAAGATTTGGATAGCCCCATGTGATATAGGGTTCGGCAATGCGTAGCATATTAATGGTTAAATTTGATGAACGAACCGTGGTTAATGTGGCTAAAACGGAACAGTAGTAAAACTTTACGCACTTTTGGTGCAACTTTGTTGATACCGCGGATACAGATCACAAAAGCCAATTTGTCTTCCGCAGGCACGTAGAATGAGCCGTGTTTCTTTGCCAGACGGCGCAACTTATTCTCACGGCGTCTGTCACGGATATATTTTGCTTGATATTTCTCAGATGCACCAAGTTTTCACGTTTGCGGAGTGCAATCACAGCAGAGCGCTTTAGTTTACGCTTGATCAGGGTAGCACGTTAGCTGACCTGCTTCTTGCTGAACTTCAGCTACGACTCGGGGACAGTGGGCAGCTTCCTGGAAGGTTGTTTGCCCTTTGATTTGGGCTTCTTACCGGCCGTGGTGGCAGTCATCTTAACTTGTAACTTAGCAGGTTGATAAGCCGAAAAAAAGTTCGTCAAAAGTTTGGAGCACATCTTAAATAACGCCACTCGATTTATAACATTTCTATTAAACACACAGCCTCATTGCGTAGGTCGTAAATTAGGCTAAATTGTACGACTCGACAGCAGTAGCATTGTCTATTGTCGTAATGAAATAAGTAAACGACCAAAATCGTCGAAAACTATACAGTGCTGCCAAGTTTTTCCGGTTTAATACACTAGTCGAGTGGAAATTTTAGGCAATGACGTGGAATTTTCGATACGATTCGACTCTCGAAAAACGACTGGCATTCGACAAGACTCTCGCAATTAGGGTGACAATTTCATTTAGTTAAATACTTTTTTAATACATCGATATGCTGCAACCAGACACTTACTTTCCCAAATTCCATCTTGCTTATCGGCATAATTTTCCAAATGTGACTGCGCTGCTACTTCGTACTAATAACTTCATTTTCCAACTGCGCCTTCTTTGTTGCCTCAACATATCCTAAAAAGACATAAAATTTGCATTAAACAATAGAAATCGCAAAAATTAGCAAATAAAATACTCCCTTCAATTTGTTTTGTTGTCAGATTTCTGAGAAATGTGAATTCACCACGATGCAATACAGAAAGAACAAGGACCAGGGATGTAATTCTAAGTAAAACTATTATTCAATGGCAATGCGCAGAGCGTTCCGAGTAGCAAAATTAATTTGTATCAAATATAACTTTAAATGGTGGTTATAATACATTTGTTAATATTATTAATCAGAGTACATTAATATATGTATGTATGGCATTTCTTTCAAAAATTAATGCTTTATATGCATATTTTTTTAATATCTCTTAAGTTTCTTTAATTAGTGCCGAAAAGCAACCATGCGTGTATGAAATTGTGTGCTACCTAAAATTTCACCTCTGGAAACTATATCCCCATAAAGGACTTCAGCACAGTNAATATCTCTTAAGTTTCTTTAATTAGTGCCGAAAAGCAACCATGCGTGTATGAAATTGTGTGCTACCTAAAATTTCACCTCTGGAAACTATATCCCC